ACCTGGTTTTGCTCTGACTAAGTTCTACAACGGATACCTGACTTAGTAAACAAGCTAACTAGGGTTTTCTGTAACTCTCTGAGTCTTTTTCTCAACTCTCTAGTGCAACGTTTACCTCACTTCATGCGCCTCACAAATTCAGTCTCAACACACACCAAAGTCTTTCACATTCTGAGCTTTCTTCACTTATCTTCTTCTCTTCCTTTCTTCAATAGCTGGGTCCTTTCTCTGTTTCTGCTGTTCCTGTCATCCCTTAATAGTTTGTGTAAACCACTAAGGAAGAGTCTGTTGAATCCTGTGGGATAACCGTTACAGTCCTTTTGCACCAAGTTTCATATTTCGAAAGGACAAAAATTATCCCTAAAGACAGTGACACCACACCTCATACTTCTTTTTACTGTTTTTACTTTCTTTAATTTATATTTGTTGTTTCCCATAATCTTTTCTAGCAATATATAAGAAGGAAATTAGAGATGGGCTTAACAATTGTTGAGGATAAGAAAAAAGGAAATCCTATTGAACCAAGGATTAATGCAACGCTGAGTTTTTTTCTGTTGGTTATTTTTTTCATGTAAAATACCCCATAATTTTAATCCCATTACAAATGCACAGGTTTTATGGTCTAGTAATTTTTTTCTACCTTTAAAAGATTTTTTCCTATGTCAGGTTGGACAATGTCCAACAATTACTATTTCTTCCTTTTTTGCCTCCAAATAATACAATTTTACGTGGACTATCAATATTATTTTATAAACTCTCATTGAAGTTTTTGAAATTTAAATTTTACAAATGGAGTTAATATGTTTCGCATGTCTATTTATTTGTTATATTAATTTATTATTATTTTTTATTGATTACATACTTTAAGGAAACCTATAACAACTTTAAATATCATTTATGGAACTTAAATTTGAGTATTTATATTCACATAAACAATCAAAATTTTAGAGTAAAAAAATTAAATACTTATTCTCATAAATCATCAATTGCAGAAATGTTTGTATACTTATTAGTTCAATTGAATTACAAATCTATCAATAATTACAATCAATTAATTTCACTTACTAATTTAGTTTATAATTCCTCCAAAGAAATTAATTTGTGAAAAAAATTTACATTAATTATTGGTAACATATTGTGAGAAATAGTTATGTGTACAGATAATTTTTGAAAAATAGAAAGGAAAAAAGAAAAAAAAAGGAAAGAAATGGACGGAAAAAAAGAAAGAATGAAAGAAAAAAAGTTGTTTTAACAGTGTCCCATGAGAGTGAGAGTCACTGTTATGGCAACAGTGGCTCGTTCAGACCCTTCTTTAATTATATCTAATAATTTATTATTATTATTATTATTATTTGAAATCTTAAAATCATTTGTAAAGTGTAGCAAATTAGTTTACTTGATAACTGAATATAAATCTAGAAATATTTATATCTCAAGTTCACGTCTCATCATGTGTGAGTTAATTTAATCTAATTTTTATATTATTCTTATTTGGTTATTTGTTTATTGGTTATTTCATAAATGTACTTACTGAAAGTTATTTCATTGCTAATGCAATTACTTCTTAATTATAATAACCTCATAAGAAAGAATATAAAAATAATTTTTTAATAAGAGATCGTGAATCTTTGATTTAATGGTAAGTATAAGTATTTCTTATTCATAGTATAAAGTTCAAATCATTGTCTTCTTATCATAAAAAGGTTAATCCAGAATACTTATTTATTTTTAAAATTAATTAAAATGAAAATTTGCTTCCATCAATAGGAGAAAATAATGAAGAAATTTTACAAATTTTTGCCTAGAAGACAAATTCTGCGTAAACATATTAAAATGTCTACCTTTAAATTAAAATAAAATAAGTAATTGGATACATAAATTACCCAATTTTACATTTAGCTTTTATTATTATTATTATTTTCTTTTGGATTACGGAATGATGGATATTGTCACGTTATCCTTTTATTGAAATTAAATTTTAAATAAAACTGGTATTTTAAGAGAGAAGATATTTGTGTTGAATTAAGTGTGGGGCATAACTTGATCATATCATTCAAAATTTTAATCCACATAATTTACATATAAGAGTACAAGACGAGTATTCAAATTTTCTTATTAATACTAGTAAACATAGATTAGACCTATTACTAGATAACTTAAATTTGATTACAATATATGCCTTGTCTAATTTATGAATATTAATCGAACAAATTGTAAATATATTTATATAGATCAATAGAAATCAGGGGAAAATCAAAGATGTTCACAGTAAATTGAACAAATGGATGCCAAAGGAGAAAAAAAATAATTAGTAAAAGCTGGTGCAATTTTATTCATTTAAGAATAAGTAAACAATATAAGGCAGCGTTATTGTGAGGTAAACAAATAGCGGTAGCAGCAGCAGCAGCCACAAGTTCGCAAACTTGCTAAAGAATGTAAGACCATACAAAAAATGAGATGAACCTAAACATTTTCATAGGAAGCTTCAATACTAATTCCGGTGTTGTCATAACTAAACGAATTTGATTGGATACTTGGGCTGCTTATTAGGGGAGAAAAGGCCGAAATGGCGCTCAGTTTCAGCAGGACCCTTTCGATTCTCATCAAACATTGCAAACAAGTAGGTTTCTATAGGTTTTCCAGGCCTCTTTGGGGTTCCATTCTTAACATGTTTGATCAAATTCTTGTAGTAAGTGCTTGCATTTTCAACGGTTGCTGCGGTGCCTCCAGCAGATGGCCAACCACTCTCTGAGACTACGATTTCCAAATTGGCAGCTCCTACTTTCTCAAGAGCAGAATACAAAGAATCCAATGTCGCATCAAACAGATTCTGATACCCGGATGGTCCATCTTGCACTACAACTCCCGGAGATGTAAACAACGCAAAGCCAAGATTGATGTTCTTTGTGTCACCGATGTAGCTGAAGTAGGTGTAGATATTGGCAAGTAGAGGTGCCCCATTGCTTGCTAAGAATTGGATGATCGGTATTATGTAAGGACGTGCAACTTCACTGAACACCCCTGCCGAGGGAGGGTAAGAATTGCCCAACAAAGTTGGTTCAACTGATGTAGAAACCTTGATTTGTCCTTGCAAATTTGCTGACACCAAAGCATTGTAAATGTTCTGCATTGCAGGCAGAACAAATTGTGCTTCCGGATCAGTTGGCTTTACTTCGTTTCCGACAGAAATGTAGCGAAATTTGACTGCAGGTGAGAAGGATACTATATTTCTTTTAACAAAATCACTTGCAGCTGAGGGATTGGTAAGGGACTGAAGAGCAGCATTCGGGATACCGAGGATTAGTTGTATGTTTGTTCCTTTGAGGGCTTGGAGAGTGAACTGATTTGGATCATAGATTCTCATTGCTCCAATGCCATTGATTTTGTAGAAATTTACAACATCTTGTTCAGAGGGCAAATCATCGGCAATTCTTCCATTACATACGCCTATGGATGGTGCACCTAAATATCACACAGAATCAAATATAATCAATTATAAGCTCTAATATCTGTAGAATTCCCTTACTTTCTTGTGTTTTTACAAGATAAAGTCATGGCATGGTAAACATGCTAGGAGCTTTGGTACTTAAGCCCCAACGATTGGCAAATAAAGGGCAGTTTCAAACAGATACTAGTATATGAATTTATGCCAGTAGAAAAGTAGTGCTTTTAATTCTTTCCTAAGCCCCTACAGTTTTCGTATTAATATCATTTTTCTTGGCCACAAAAAATGATATCTCCTGTCATGTTGAGATTGACTGAAACACAAATAGGACAACTTTAGTGTCAGTTTTCATTGCATACATGATGGATATCGAATTAAGCAATAATGAGAAGGAGAGAGAAACGAACCTGCTGTATTCTGGCCATTGGACATTGAAATTGCAAGGAGTAGAAATATGGAAACCATTAAAGTTTTATTACTTGTTGCAGGTAGAAAACCCATGGAGAATAAATAGAAGATACAATAAAAAAGAAAGAAAGGAATTGTTTTCTAGCAGAATTGCTGTATCTATACCTTCCAGCTGAGTTCAAATAAATAAATATTTATAGAGAGAAAGAGAGAGGGAGAGAGTTGATGAACCCCTTTTATTGCTCCTTGATTGTCTAACTGGTTATTTGAAATTATTAAGATATGACATGATTACATGTGTTACAAAAATTAAGTTCCCTCAAATCGAGGGTGTTTGAAATAAGACTGGAGCAATCCGAATTAACTGATTAAAAAACAAAACTCAACGCAATGAGAATTTCTTTTCTGTTCCAATATATACTCCTCCCTTTATTAAATGTTGTGGTTCCTATATATAAACTCTATATATCACTATGTTTAGTAATGTTACTAATGTAAATACAATGTATATATGGAGTGGTTTGCATAAAACCTAAAAAGGGATCCAAGTTCACTCATGTTATTTGCCTAATTAATACACTGTGCTAGTTACCTGCTAGGCTGCTACATCTTAAACAAGTAAAAATAGAATTAGAATATCTTCTCTACATTTTCTTACACACAGTCAGTCAGTTGAGGGGCTCAGCCTTGGAAATAAATGGTCAGCTGAGCCCTTCAACAAGACAAGAAAATTGTTGATAAGACTTCAATAATGGCTTAATGGTTGACAATGGAATACCAAGCTTCATGGCCCAACTGTGTCTCTCTTTTGAGCCTTGTCCATGTGTTGACAAAAAGGGTACCATAAAATGGGACTGCAGTTGGTATAATTCAATGAACTTGGCTTATTGGTATATGAAGGATGCCTCGATTTAGCTTCTTTAATTAAACTTTATCTGTCTCTTTTCTCTTTTTTTTTTCTCTTTTTTGAAATGCTACCTTTGATAAGAATAAGAAATTCAGAACCCTAAATTAAGCAAACTTCATCAAGACATAATGCCACTTGAAATCAATTTAAATTGGCAACAGATTTTAAACTATTTCCTTATTCACCTTTATCTTGTTAGAACTTTTCCCAGTCTCTTTTTTGTGTACGTGTGTTTTTTTTAAATGCCAATTTTGATAACGATAAGAAATTTAGAACCCCTAAATTAGGCAAGCTTCACTCTAAACATAAAACCACTTGAATTGAATTTAAATTTGTAGCAGATTTTTGAACTATTTTTGCTCCATTTTTATTAGAAAATAAGACAATAATACTAAAATAGTGGAATTAAGAGCTTTAACACAAGGGAGCACAAGCTACGGTTATCTCATTAGCTCTATCAGCCAAAACTATCTGATACTTTTGGCTGTTTATTGGGGAGGAACAAATCACAGTGTTGCTCATCCCTGCATCCTTCTCTTTATTTTTTTTTAATTTAAAAAGGAGATTCGAACTTTATTATTTAAGCAGCCAATCAATGAACTAAATACTGAGGTGCTTCCTTCTCTTTATCTTGCCCTTTGGTATTTAACTGAAACCGATTTTATATTTTGGCTGCTTATTAGGGGAGAAGAGGCCGAAATGGCGCTCAGTTTCAGCAGGACCCTTCTGATTTTCATCAAACATTGCAAACAGATAAGTTTCTATAGGTTTTCCAGGCCTCTTGGGAGTTCCCTTGTTAACATGATCGACCAAGTTCTTATAATAAGTGCTTGCATTGTCAACTGTTGCCGCGGTCTCTCCAGCAGATGGCCAACCACTCTCTGACACGACAATCTCCACATTGGCACCCCCTACCGTCTCTACAGCAGAATAAAAGGCATCCAACGTTGCATCAAAAAGATTTTGATACCCGATTGCGCCATCTTGTACCACAGTTCCCTGAGCTGTAAACAAGGCATAGCTAAGATCGATGGTGTTTGGGTCACTAATGTAAGCAAAGTAAGTGTAGATATTGGCAAGAAGTGGTGCCCCAGTGCTTGCCAGGAAGTTGATGATTGGTGTTATGTAAGAACTTGCACCAGCACTAAAAGAGCCTGCTGAGGGAGGATAGGAAATTCCTAACAAAGTTGTATCCACTGATGTAGAAACCTTCATCTGACCATCTAATTTTGCTGACACCAAAACATTGTAAATGTTCATCATTGCAGGGAGAACAAATTGAGCTGCTTCATCAGTTGGCTTTACTTCATTTCCAACTGCAACATAGCGGAATTTAACGTCTGGTGAGAAGGCAACTACATTTTTTTGGACCCAATCATTTGCAGCTGAGGCCGTGGCAACGGATTGAAGGTCAGCATTTGGAACACCAAGGATTAGTTCTATGTTTGTTCCTCTAAGGGCCTGGAGAGTTGCTTGATTTGGATCATAGATTCTCATTTTCCCGATTCCATTTGATGTATAGAGGTCTACAACTTCTTGTTCACTGGGCAAATTATCGGCAATTCCTCCATTGCATACGCCTATGGCTCCTGCACCTAAATCACATAGAACCATAAATAAACAATTAGCTGAATCTGATCTCTACGACAAATATTGTTCCACCATTATTCATTTCACTTTTCATTTTAGTGTACATCAGTTATGAATTTAAAATGAAACTAATTTCCCGATCTAGATTTCACATGAAATCAGTATTGGCGAGGTTATCATATAACAAATAACAAGGGAAAATTGTTTGTGCAAATTAATTGTATTAACACGCAATTGTAGATTATTGTTTTCTTTTCTGAGCATGGCGATTTGTTTAAAGAAGAACTGAAACAAGACGTAGGGTAATAAGGATGTATCAGGGAGCATAAAATCCAGCTTTGATATATAAATAGATATGATCCTGTGGAGTCTGAAGGACTTGTTTACCTAAATCTCTCTGTTATGTGCCCTCCAAGAGCACAAAAAATGTAGGACTCATACAAGCCGTGGGCAGCTTGGGGCCTTATGTTTATCAATTTGTTATACTATGTCATTTCCCCTTTCTTTAGGCTTTAGGCTTTATCAAGTGGCTGTTATCTTTTATTTTCCTTTCTTTTTTATGGGATAAATAGTTATCTCTAGGGTATGCTTGGACCATTAGTGCTAATATTAGCTTGACGCCAAGCTAGACCGTCTATCATACATATGATGGTATGAAGTAGATCATTGTCAGCATACACACAAAAGAAATTTTCCTCAAACCAGGTGCACACATTTACAAACAACATGCAATGAAACGATGAGAAGGGAGAGAATCGAACCTGTTATGGTGTGGCTGCAGGATATGAAAACTCCTAGGATTAGATATGCGACAACCATGAAACTTTTGTTACTTACCGCACTTCGGAAATCCATGGAGATCAAGTGGGAAAGAAAAGAAGCCCAAATGTATCGTTTTCTTACAGGACCACTCGTCTATATCTTCTTGTCTATTATATATAGAGAAATTTACTAAATTAATTCACTAACATCTCAGCTAATGATGAATCCCTTTTTATTGCTCTTTGATTACTCAGACGTGGTTAAAGGAGTAACACTAAGATACATATCATATGATCATATAAGTGTGATGAGAATTGACGTAGTCAGCACATTTGATTTGTCACGAGTTCTTTAAACATTGAATGTGGGCAATAACTTCAGTTCCTGCAAATCAAGCGAGTTAATGCAGGCCTCAACCCAATTATAGCAATTATCAGAAATGATAAAGGAAAACCCAAGGCGAGCAGATCAATCAAGCCATCGGGATCTAGAAATCCTATGTCGGCACCTCCATTGAATATGGCATTCATATGTACAATAATTTCTGACTATAAATGTTTACGGATTGATCCTTTCTGCCACGACAGCCATAAAACGACTATATCACGATGATACTAGGATTGACGTGGTAGACAGGCGCATCTAATAACTCCTATGTAAATACATTGTATGGAGAATTTTGCCTCATATAATTTAACTGTTGCTTTGTAGAGAGTGGTGTGGTAGGAAAGATCTATCTTATATATATATATATATATATATATATTTGAAAGGCAATCTATCTTATAATTACTATAAAAATAAATTGTAGGGAGAGTTTTGCCTTATATACTTTAATATGGCCCCTGTAAAGAATTATTTTTATTTTATTTTATTTTTCACCTCATCTTATTTTACTGTTTGATTATCTAGTGGTTTGAAAGTAGAATCTTAACACCTATTAAGGATAATGTGACCAAAGAAGATAAGCTCCAGCATGCGCCAGCTAAGGACAATTCAAAGCAATTGCTGGCAGCAGCTTCATGAGAAGTTATGGCCAACGCTGGCTTTGTATTTATCTTTTAATCACTTTGTACTTAGCAGAAATACTCCTTTCACTCTACATATTCTGTACATGATATCACATGAAATTGACAGGGCATTTGATTGCAACCTTTACTGCTTTAAAAAATTAATTTCAGCACATGATACATGGAGGACTTGTACTCACACCATGGTAAATATATAATAATGTCTCATAAAGTTTCTATCTCATATTATCTAAATACAAAAAATGTTAGTCCTTTATATAAGTAAATTCATTATGAGCTTGATAAAAGCTAGAAAATAAAATAGTTTAGCACGCACACAAGATCAAGTCAAGCTTTATGAAAATGTAAATTTCCCCCTGCACTCGAGTATACACTTGGCATATTTTTTTGTATTTTTTAGATATTTTTATAACATTACATAATATTTTCCTGATTACAAAATATTTTTTACAATATTTTGAAACCATTACAAAATATTTTGTGATAACCATTACAGAATATTTTTCTTATCACAAAATATTTTATATAATAAATTATTACAGGACTTAATTTGGTCTTTGATTATTTTTCAGAATATTTTTATAACATTACAAAATATTTTGTAATCATAAACTATTACAGGACTTAATTTGGTCTTTGATTATTTTTCACAATATTTTTATAACATTGCAAAATATTTTGTAATCTATCACATGACTTGATTTAATATTATTTTTCAGAATTTTTTGTAACTTTATAGAATATTTTTGTCATTACCAGATATTTAATATTTTCCTTATCACAAAATATTTTATTTCTTGATTTTCTCTCCTTGTTACTCTTGTTTTTTTGATAGTTTGTGCAAACTATTTAAAAATAATCTATTGAATCTTAAAATAATCTATTTAATCTTTTTGTATTGAGTTTCATACTCCAAATGAGTACAAATTATCTTAAATATAATATAACATGCCTCAGACTAATTTCAATTGTTATCTACTTCAATTTTCGTAAACAATTTAAAGATAATTTGAGATAAGTTTTATTTTATTATTACTTCCTTTCGATGTTGTCGATTTTATTTTTCCATTGATTTTTATGTCAATTCCTAAGTGCAATTATTTCATAAGTCCTCTTTTTGTAATCCTTATAAGTTGATTTTTAATATGCAAACTCTCGGTAGAAAGGTTATTGTTGTTGAAACGTGATCATCTTTGGATCATATTCTTCATTTTTTTAGAAAAACAAACAGAAATCTCCGTTAATTATAAAGAAATCTATTTTGAAAATTTGTTTCCATCATCTATGATGTCGAATTTCTGCTTATTCTATTTAGTACGTGGTGTAAACCTATTCTATTTGGTAAGTAGTGCTTTATTATAGCTTAAGTGTAGTTATATTATACATTAATTGAGCAATGACATATGCATAGCATTATTTTGAATTTGCTACTAGCATAGTATTCATGCTTTTAAATTACTTGAAAAATGATGATAGAATCCATTTAGGTGGTTTATTTAATTCGAAAACTATCCTTTTGGAAGCTGCCTTGCAAAAGTTGTAAACTGCACCTTACATCTGTTTTAAGTTGTTTAAGAACCATCACCCTTTTTGGCATGGCTTGAATTAAAGTTAGCATTAATGATCTTAAAGTTATGGCATGATTTAAAAAGGATACGTTTAGCCCCAAAACACATTTGGTTTTAATAAAAGCCATTCATGGCTGTTTTATGGTCATTAATATCAAGATCTTTACTATTTTTGAAAGCACATGAGGTCTTGAGTAAAGTTTGAACTTAAAGAGTTTTGACAAATTGATATAGTTTGAGTATACATGGCACGATTTTCAAAAATTGATGAATTTGGCAAGAAATTAGCCTGTTTTATGTGAGATGTGTTTAACTTGTATATTACCTCAGGTTAAGTACTGTAGTCGTGACATTTTATGTGACCTTCGTACACAAAGTATTTTCTAGCTAGAGATGTTGATGTGAGGAGTCTCACAAAATTATGCTAACAAAGGGAAGCCCCTAATCTATTATAAACGTGAGAGGTCCCACGAGGTTTAGATCTACTTGAGACTTGGTATGCTTATTATTATATTGATGTTTTGAATACTAATAACTACATGCATTGATGTTATCAACAAAACAAAATATTTTTAACTTTTGAATTTGATATGAAAAATTTTGGAGAAGTTAATGTTACTTTTAGTATTAAAATCATAAGAAGTAATATGGTCTAATACTAACATTAGAGCATTATGTGAAGAGGTTATTTAAAAGTTTAGACATTTTAATATCACACCTGTGAATACTTCTTATGATATTAATACCCAATTAAAAAAAATAGAGGTGATAACGTAGCTCAGTCTAAGTATACTTATGTTATTGGAAATTTGATGCATTTGATGAAGTGTAGTTGACTTGATATAGCTTATGTTATGTGCAAACTAAACAGATATACACAAAGTTCCAATCGAGATAATTGGCTTGCCTTGAGCAGAGTAATAAAATATTTAAAAGGTATCATAAATTGTGACATTTTGTATAACGAATTTCCTATTGTATTAAAAGGATACAATAATGCTATTTGGATCTAAGATTTAGATGAGATAAAATCCACAAGTGGATATGTATTCACCTTTGGTGGGAGTGTTGTAACTTAGAAATTAGCCAAACAAACAATAATTGCTAAATTAGCAATGGAATCAGAATTTATAGCTTTAGAATTGACTGACAATGAGGTTAAGTTGTTAAGAAACCTCTTAGAAGATATTTCATTGGGAATGAAACAAACACTTTTTGCGTTTATACATTGTGATTGCCAAGCGACAATAGCTATTATAAAAAATAAAACTTTCAATAATAAGAATAAATATATTCGTTTAAGACATGATGTGGTAAAGCAGTTGCTTGGAAATGAAATTATATCTATTGATTATGTGAAGTAAGAACTAAATTTGGCCAATCCTCTTACTAAACCCTTATGAAGAAAATTAATTAATAATACATTGAGGAGAATGAGATTTAATTAAGCTAATTAAGAAAAATCAACAATAATGGCAACCCAACCTATGTGAGTAGCAATCTTATGAATTAAATTTATATGGGTAATAACAAGTTATTTGTTAATACTTTGATGCAATATAAAATTATTGTCTCTCTTATAATGTGAAAATAGTGCAAACTACAATGAAGGTAAAGTTGAGTTAAACTCTTAATAAATTCCATATTATATATGGATAGTGTACTAAATTGTAGTATACACTTGATGGAATCACTTATATAAGTGTGGTGTGGGGCCATTCTTATGAGAATTGTGGTAAATTTACTAGAGCACTTATGAATAACTAGACACCAGCATAGTTTCTTCGCACAAAACCGCAATAAACAATAAAAATTATGGAGTGTAATGTGATTGATAAAAATCATATTTCACATAAAAAACTTTTGATTTATATAAATTATAAACTTCATCAAAATTTTGTGATGTATATTTCATCCTTTCCAAGCCAAGTTCATAGTTCAAAAAGCATCAATCTCAATGCTTTACACTCAAATGAGATTAGATTCAGCAAAAACTTCCTATTATAAAACTTAATGAAATATGTAGAGATTGTTGGACATATAATGATATCTCATAAGGTTTCTATCTCACATTGCTTAGGTACAAAAGATATTAGTGTTTTATATAAGTAAATTCATTATGAGCTTGTTGAGGTTAGAAAAAAAAGTGGTCTTGCACGCACACAAGATCAAACCAAGTTTTGAGAAAATGTGGATTTCCAAAGAGATGAAAAGATCAAGATGAAAATTATCCTTACTCCGAAGAGATGAAAATTATCCTTAAAGATAATGTATAATGTATAACACCTTCAAAAATTATCTTTAAAGGCAATATATAATGTATGTTTCTATTTTCACCAACACACCACTTGTAGAAACTAATAAGCTTGCATATGAGAAGGGTGTTAAACAGTTGAAGAGATTTAAGATTAGTTTGGCCCCAAACCTCTTAAACCTCATGACGAGAGGACCCCGCATTAGGCGAACTTAATGAACACACAATACCACTTGAAATCCTTTTAAAGTAGTGATAGAATTTATTTGAATTGTATTTGCTACATTTTATTGTGAATTAACACACTAGGACACAAGGCACTCTTATTTAAGTCGGACATGCATTTAAGGTCACTAAATTGGACTCTTGGGTCTCAGCCAAAATTTATTTGATACTTTGGTTGTCCATTAGGGAGGAACAGACCGAAGTGTTGCTCAACCCCCGCAGCCTTTAGATTTTCATCAAACATGGCAAATAGGTATGTTTCTATTGCCTGACCTGACCTTTTCGGTGTCCCTTGTGTCACATGATTAATCAGGTTCCTATAGTATGTGCCTGCATTATCAACATTCGCTGCATTTCCACCCTCAGATGGCCAACCACTCTCAGATACAACAATGTTCACGTTAGCCCCTCCCGTCTTCTCCAGAGCAGAATAAAGTGAATCAACCAATGCATCAAAGAGATTTTGGTAACTATACTGACCATCTGGTACTACAACCCCAGGGGCAGTGAACAAGGCAAAGTCAAGGCCAATATTAATCGGGTCACGAGTGTAGCTCAAGTAGGGGTATATGTTAGCAAGAAGTGGTGCTCCATTACTTGCCAGGAAGTTGATGATTGGAGTTATAAATGGACTTGATGTGTTACTAAATGAACCATCTGATGGAGGAGATGATGTTCCAAGCACAGATGAGGCTACTGCTGTTGAGACCTTAATCTGGCCTTGTAGACCGGCTGCTGCTAGGGCATTGTGAACATTTGTCATGGCCGGCAGAACAAATTCCGCCCGCTGGTCACTAGGTGAAACTTCATTTCCAACTGCTATGTATCGGAATTTGACATCAGGAGAGAAAGACACAACATTTCTCTGGACCCAGTCATTTGCAGCTGCAGCATCAGAAAGGTCTCGGAGGTTGTCAAGAGGGACATCAAGGATGAGTTCTATGTTAGATCCTCTGAGGGCATTGAGAGTTTCCTGATTTGGATCATAAATTCTCATCCTTCCAATGCGATTTGATTGATAAAGAATTACAACTTCTGCTGCTCCAAGTAAATTGTCTCCATTTCTGCCATAGCAGACGCCTATGGATTGTGCAACTACACAAATAAACTTGGGTCAAAATTTCATCAGACACTCGCTATCAACATTTAAAATGTAAATGCTTTATATATGGCACTAGCAGTTGCGCAACATGTTGGACAAACTCTGGCCAGGAGGATAATGTTGAGGATGAAAATGAGAGCCAGAGGCCCTGACTTTTTAAGTAGTGCAGTCCTTTCCTTTATGGCAAGGGCTTCACATCCGTTGTTGTAGTTGGAAACCAATGAAGTTCTCGTGCAAAAGCTTAGCTACTTGCAGGAGTATATGATGTGATTGAAATCTAATTTACCTCACAAATAATAGTAGTGTTTATTTAAGAACTTGTTAAACTATAATTTTTTCTTTAACATGTAAAAAAGGCCAGCATAATTTTATTTGATGTTAATTAAATCAATAGATAAATGATAGGGTACAAGTTTTGGTCATCCTCATGAAGCTGGAAGAACACTCTCAACATTAAACTATTTATCCTACTCAAAAATTTTGGAAAAGATATAAAATAAAGTTTTTTTTTTTGAAAGAATTGTTTGGAAATCCCTTTTTAGTTACTTTTTTCTCAGAGATATATAGAATTGGGGTTGGAGCACATGTGAAAGTGAAAAACAGAAAATCTATTCAATACAATATGATTAAAAGTTTCCTCTGAGGTTTTAGTGAGTAAAACATACCTGTTATTTCCGTTTGAGATACCAATAATCCCAAAAGCAGCAACATGGCAGCCATGGAAGCTCTGGTATTTCTTGGTTTGAATGAAGCCATAGACTAGTGAAAATGAGAACTCGACTTGTAACATTCATCTCTTTGCTTTATCTATATATAGAGAGGCAAGACCTCTAGGATTGGAAAAGTTAACCCCAGTTTCAACATCTAATTGCCCTGTCAAGCACTCCATTGGAAGAGTCAACCAAAAAACACTAATGTTAGAACAACATTGAAAATAAGCTTGGAACTATACGCAGATAGATAGCAACTTATCCAACCGTGTGTTTTTTAGTCTATATTGCTTTTCTCTTTCCAGGAAAAGTCTACCGAGTAACCATGGAAATTTCTCAGTCTTGGCTGCCTTACATGGTGAGCATTCATATAGTCCAAAATTATGACAGTAAAAAGACTAAAGTTTCAAACACTGAAGTAGAAATTTGGGGTCAATGGAGCAGACCGAGAGAAGTTCTGATCACCCATTTGTACAGAGGTTGCGTATCGTTTCATAACCTGATATACACGAAATGTGCCACTGTTGAGTCGATGTTGTGCTTCATGGAAGTGCCACTGTTGAGTCGATGTTGTGTTTAGCACGATGCGAACAAGAGTCTTGCTTTGCCCTTTTCAGTAATGTCAACCAGGTAGGACAGATTCTTCAACAAGAATTTGAACACAATGACAAGCTAAGACTGCATGCATGCCCACTTACTTCTACTTTCAAGGGAGATTGAAGCTATTAAAGTAAATGATTAAATGAAAACTAAACCTGTTATCAAATAGAGGTAAAATTGAAAATGAAAATCAGTAGATAAATAGAGTTTAACAAGTCTATCGAGAATATGTAAAAAAAAAATTAATTAATTAAACATAAAATTTACATACAAAATTTAACCATTAATATAATTGAATAGTGGAATTTTATCATAACTTTTTAAATAAAAATGTCTTCTTGAAATAAAGTATGAAAGCTGGTTTATAATTTATTTTGTACCATATAATATACTTAATCTGTTTTTATTTAATCTTTTTTAATGCAGAACTTAAGAATTTTACTTAATTATTGCACAATATTTTATATATATATATATATATATATATTGATTGATTGACTTATGGAGATCATTGAAATAACATTTGAGTTGATCTATGAAGTATAAATTATGACTTATGGTGTTTCTCCTCCTATATATTCAGTCTACCAACCAAAACATAATTTGGGGGGGTGGGAATCCAAACATGAAAATAGCAAGATGATTGCATTTCTTAATAAGATAACCTAAATGGATGAAGCCTTAATACCTTGAAAAAGTTTTCAAAATCAGCTTGCAAGTTACTAAATATTACCCTTTTTTTTGTTTTTTGTTCATCCCTAAATGAATTTTTAATTCTTTTTTTAGACATCTAATATTTCTATTTTGTCTATATTATAATTTTTTTATGATTTATTTTACTTTTTCATATTAAAAAGTATTGAATATCTAAATTATTAAATAATTTAAAATTTTAATATAAAATATTTAACAATAAAATATTCTATTTTAATGTTCATAAAAGTTAAAAAAGATTAGGGAAAAAAGGAAGGAGGGAGTATATACAATTATAAATGGAACGATCAACTATAGAAGATTCACATATTTTTCCCTCTAAAGATATGGAAAAATAGGAGAAAATGTGTATTATTCTGCTCCACTTGCAAAGTAATAAAAAAAAATGCAGTTGTAATTTGTAAAGTTGTTGTTAACTCTCTATTTTAAGACCATGGCAATTCAATATTAAAAATTAAAAAATATTTTTAAAAAACCCTAAAGAAGTAAGAAAAAATAATTAAAAAAAAATCAAAGGGAAACAAAAGAAAGCTTTTACAAAGCAACATTAGAGGATCAAAATTTCAAAAGGAAAAAAAAAAAATCACCTCCAAAAACTGTGAAAAGGACCTCTCTTTCTCTACACCTTGCATTGTTAATCTCTGTTTTTATTATTTTATCATCCTTAAAACCAAATTATTTGTTTCCATTTCCTTTTGCTAATTCAATGAAATAATAAAAAAAAAAACCCACCAGCAGCCACCTTTTGATAAATCAAGAATCAGATTTTCAATCCACACACATTGACAGCCGTTGGATTTGATGACTCCGACGTTGACATGTCGCCGGCGTTGCTAGATCCTGGAGGAGCCGCTTCTTCAACTCCCAAAGGTCAGGCTTCTTCTGTTCCTTTTACAGTGAATTCTTTTGGGTCTTTTCCAGTTTCTCAACCTAAGCTTTCACCAGAGAAAATGAACCCATCTTCTAGTTTTGGTGTTGGAGGTGATTTTAGTTCTGGGTTTTCCAATTCGACCCCGAATAATCCCAATTTTAGCTTCAATACACCTTCATTACAGCAACCTTCTGGGGGCCTTGCTAGACCAAGGCTTGTCAAAATTAGAAAGCAATTAAATTCCCACACGTTAAAATCTTCAGGCAATTTAGAAACCCGGGTAGGCCCCGGTTTTAACCCGTTTCGGCCTGTTTCCAGTGTTCCCCACCTGAATCCATCTGATGGGAGCGGCTTGGGTGAGAATTTGGATGGAGGAGTTGTGGAGAAAATGAGCAATTTGAGAATTGGGAAGAGTTGTAGTTTTGATGATCAAAGTTTAGTTTCGAAGCTTCCGGATGATATAAGGAAGTTGAACATTGAGGATGGTTTGAAGGTCAATCAGAGTAATGAGAATGATGGCAATGTAGGTAGTTGTAGTGGAAGAAGTGTGGAAACCGAGAAACTTCCAAATGAGTTGACGAGGAAGTTGAATATCAAAGGCAGTGAGGATGTTGATGGCGGAGCTAAGAAGGATTTTGTATTTAAGGGTAGTAGAAAAAGTAGTGATTCTTTGGTTGGAAGCTCGACGGATGCACTTCATGATGGAATTAAGAATTTGAACATAAAGGGGTCTCATGATAGTAATGCCAATGAGAGAGATGGTTTTGTCTCTAGAAGTAGTAAAATCACCAGTCATCTTGGCGGGGAAAGAGAAAAGGTATTGTCAACTGAGATGGAGAGGAAGTTGAATATTGGGAGTCTAATGGGAGATTCTACTGGTCAAACAGATAGGGGATTTTCTTCTTCGCTAGTATTTGAAAAGGATGTGCAAACTGAAAAGTTGGGTGATAAGAAGCTCCATGAATTTGGTAAATCAGTTCACAGAAAATCTACTTTCCAGGTGGCAACACCGGGTTTATATCCAAGTAGTAAAGTTCCTATGGATCAACTGATAAATGATATTGGACCTGGTGAAGCTGCAGCATCAACAACTTTGTTTTCATCTAGTTCTATGCATTTCCAGCCTGGTGCAAATGTCTTTGGCATGACTTCTGATCAACCAGATAAGAAGGATGAGTTTGGTTTTACAGCCAAACAAGATCGTATAGAAACACCCTTCGTGGAATTCAAAACTCCTAATCCACGGACAAATATATTCTCGGGCTTAAACAAAAAATTGGAATTCAATGCAAAAAGAGAAGCTGGTACAACCACAAAAGTCAAGAAAAGGAAGGGAAAGTTGAAGCAGCCTGCACCAGTTCAGTTATGTCATGGACAAGATTTTGTTTCAAGTAAAACTGCTACACAGGATAATGCAGAGGCTTCTGAGTCTTATTCACCAATGGATGTCTCACCATACCAGGAAACACTAGCTGACACTCAATGTTCAAGAGAATCTTCTGTAGCTTCAGATGTGTGTTTCAGTCTTGATAACAAATTTGCACCCTGTGATTCACAGCCAGCAGTTTCAATTGATACAATAGATGAGGATCTGGTTGCTGCAACGCAACATATGAATATAAATGAAAGGGAGGAGAAAGATGAAAAAACAAAAGAGGGTTCTGGAAATGTTTTTGATAAAAGTGTTGCTGCTGAAGCTCCCCAAGAAGATTCTGTATCTGGTGCTGAAACTGAAAGCTTTATATCTGCAGCTGAGGAGATAGATTATAACATTGATATTGTTGTTAGTTCAGCTGAATCTGAAGCAAGTACAAGATCAAATATTGAGAGGCAAGATAGTGATGCTCAGATGTACTTTGCTTCCCCCTCTAATCTAGAACATATAAGTGGGTTTGGCTTCACATTTGCTGCATCTTCTTCTGCTCAAACTCAACTATCATCATCCAAACGCCACCAGAAAAAGAAGAATTTGGCTAAAATTGCTTTTGATTCTCCTAATTCTAGTTTGAATGTGAGAATCCCTTATGCATCATCCTCTGTACAGTTTTCTCCTTACCCTGGAGCTTCATTGCATGTGTCCCCTGGGCAAGACCAGAAAGCAGATATATCTACTTTGCAAAGCAAGGTTGGAGAGAACTCTGTGGTGGACAAAGGACCTGAGGTCAAGCATGAGCCTTATTTGACTGGTGCAAGCACTGCAGTTCAGGAATCATGTGAAAAGTGGCGATTAAGGTTATTAAGTTTTTGATAATTTACCTTCATTCTTTTAAAAAGTTCTATTTTCTGAGTAGATTAATTGTTTTTATGCTCTTATAGATCATACTTGATCCATCTTGTAATTTGATGATGTGACCTCTTCATGCTTGATTTCCTTCTACTGATGAATCCATTTTGTTTAACTGACATATATCAGGGGAAACCAAGCCTATGCTAATGGGGATTCATCCAAAGCCGAGGAATATTACACGCAAGGGATAAATTGTATTACTCCAAATGAGACATCAAGAAGCTGTCTTCGGGCATTGATGCTGTGCTATAGCAACCGTGCTGCTACACGTATGTCTCTTGGAAGAATGAAAGATGCAGTAGGAGATTGTATGATGGCGGTCGCAATAGATCCAAAGTTTTCTAGGGTTCAGCTTAGAGTGGCAAAGTAAGGCTCTACATTTCTTTCCTTTGCTTTAATTTGAGCCACTGCTGTTCTGGAGTTGTATGTATTTCTGATTCAAAGGTACAAATTCTTTTCTATACTAACCTTATTCAAGATAGAGAAAAAAATTTTGTTTTGAAAGTCTTTGTTTCATGAGGATTTATAAGTATTTGTTTCAAATTGTTCGCAGTCGCTGCTTTGGTGCTCTTTTTGAAACTTAACCTTTCCATTTAATTGCCCTTTTGAAGTGATTAAGAAACGTCATTTTGTGCAGTTAAATTACCAACTACATTTTCCATTTTCTACATAATCTATTTTAGTTTGGAATTAATATTTCTCTTCATTGCTATCCAGTTATTATTGTTACGCTGTTAGTTTTGCTATTAATTTGCATGTCAGTGCTATGATTTAAAGTGCAAAGCTGGGTATAGTTGTTTTGATTGTTGTTTGTTATTGGCTTTCTCTTTTCTCTCCTAACTTGGGCTTCCTCCTTATTTCTTTTCCTTCAAGTTGCTACCTTGCCCTTGGGGAAGTTGAAAATGCAACGCAACATTTCAGGAAGTGCTTACAATCTGGAAGTGATGTTTGTGTGGACCGAAAAATTGCAGTGCAAGCCTCTGATGGCTTACAAAAGGCACAGGTACTTATTATTATTATTATTTGAGAGGAACTAGTATCTTATCAGTATTCTTTTATTCAAGTCTATTTGGTTTGTGTTAATTGTAACATTAATTAGGGTTTACAATTTATTCTTTAGATCCATAAAGATCAATAAAATTTTGAAATAGATCCAAGTGAATAAACTCATCTGGTCTTCATTTGAGCTCATGCTACTAAGTAGCCAATCTTCTTTGAATTATGGCTGCATATGGGTTAGTATGTTGTGGTTTAAATTTTCAATGGATTTTTGAAGTCAAATAAAAATGTTCCATTACAGAAATTGAAGCTGAGCCAAGTCCTAGTCACTTGAAAGGATGAACCTAAATTGACTTGAAAAGTTTAGTTTGATTTTTCCATTCGTTTAGGATCTTCAACTACATGAGCCCAAATTTTATGTACTGGATCAAGAAAATGTGCCTTAGCTTCTCATATATAATATATCATTGCAGTCAGATTGATACAACTGTCAATGATTATATAGCAAATATATATACTCCTGGTCAGCAAATAATTTCCAGTGCATCTGCAAATGAGTCCAAAATTGTCTTTAGGGTTTAAGGAGCCAGGGCGCTTTGAACAAGTATAAGAGCTTGACCCTTCTTATTTTCAATTGTTGTTCCTAAATCCACTATATGTGACATAGTGGAACCTTTTATCTTTTGGTTGGAAAGAGCTTGGTCATTGAAAGAGATGCTCTTCTTCTCCAAAAGTAGTTCAGTTGATCATAGCTGCCCCTGCCTAATCTCTCGATGATACTCATCTAGGAGGAATTGAGAGATTTCAACTTTCTTGAAAATCTTTTGTGTTTCTTTTACCAATGATGGATGAAAATAATACACAGTCAGCAGCTTCAGGGGCAAAGGTGATGTTGAAATTAAAATGTAGTGGACTAGTAAAGTAAGCTTAATTGTTCCACGTAGACAACTTTAAAGACGTAATGATGCATCTTAAAGAGTTAGAAACATTGCTATTCTCTATTATCAACCTCTGTGCTTAAATTAATTAAATTCCTGGCTATATGCTGTTTTTCAGGAGTTTTATTGCTATTTGCTATATTATGGACCCAGCCGTGTCTGAATTAAAACTTTCTTGCAAAAACATCCTTTTTTTTTTCTATGTGTGCATGGGTCTTTGCATGCGTGTGGGTATCTGGTGGTGGTGGGAGTTTACATTTTGGAAATTTGATATCATTAGCAGGTGGAAGGTGTATATTATGAACCCAGACATGTCTGAATTAAAAACGGTTTTGCAAAATCATCCCTTTTTTTCTGTGTATTGGTCTGTGCACGTGTGTGCGTATCTGGTGGCAGCGGGGGTTTACATTTTGGAAACTTGATATCATTATCAAGGGGAAAGTGTATAATTATCTTGATATCCCTCTTTTCCTGCATTGTATATTTAATTTTAGCTTTGGTGGATTTAATGATACTTTTTTTTTTTGTTTTTATGTTTTCTTCCTCCTTTCTTTACATAGTTTCTTAACCTTGATAAATGTTCAGAGCTTTTTCAAATTGTTTATTTTTCGGCTTCACTCTGTTGATTTATTTGCAGTGATGATAATCTGACTGATGAGTGGTTTCCTCTCTGGCAGAAAGTGTCTGAATCCATGCATCGGTCTGCTGAACTTTTGCAAAGGAGAACATCTGATGATGCAGAGAGTGCTCTGAAATTAATTGCCGAGTCCTTGCAGATTAGCTTGTACTCAGAAAAATTACTTGAAATGAAAGCAGAGGCCTTTTTCATTGTATGTGTATTTTTGTTGATGTATAATTGTCTAAATGAGAAACTTCTGAAAGTCGATAGTTTACTGTCTATTTAAGCATATGTTAAATCACAGGAAGATTGTTTGGAATTGTAATAACATTTTTGCAATCTGGCAGCTGCACAAATATGAAGAGGTAATTCAGCTGTGCGAGCAAACATTTGATTCTGCTGAAAAGAATTCTCTTTCATTCAATATCAATGGGCAACTGGCCAATCTGGATGGTTCTGGATTATCAAAGGACTCTACATTTAGAATTTGGCGGTGTTGCCTCATCTTCAAATCTTACTTTCATCTAGGAAAGCTTGAAGAAGCTATTGCTTCACTGGAGAAGCAAGAAGAATTGCAATCTGCTACAGATAGGTAAATTCACTGCCTTCTCATTCAAAATATTCTAATTTATGTGATGGAGTACAATAATTGTTGCACATTTTTTAGTCTGTCCAGGGATGGAAGCAACAGTTTGGAATCATCAATTCCAGTGACTGCTACTGTACGTGAGCTCTTACGTCATAAGGTATTTCCTTGATATGCTTTTAACTCTAAGAAACATTTTATGCAGAGTTACGCACAACATTGTGCTTTTGTTGGTGTGATTGGCATTTTTTTTTCTGGGAGGCAGTGGGATTGACTTTTGAGTGCTGCAACTCATAGGTACATATAAAAGCATTATTCCTTTACATACTTATAGGGGATTTCAAAAACATATTGCTACCTAAATTGGTGGGATTCACATTGAGTAATACTTCATTGGAAATTGCTTTTGCTACTTGCTTTGGGCTTTTTGCTTTCAGAAGTATAAAGCAAAAAGATGTGTTTGGATACAAAAGCAAAAAGATGTGTTTGGAAAATTAAAAATTTAAAAAATAGATGTTTTTGGATAAATGCATGATTTTACTGCTATATAGAACAATTATATCAAAATTGGTGTTGTGTGTTGATCAATTGTTCATTTTGAATCAATTAGGATTTTTCCTTCTCCTGTATTCTTTTTTTTTGTGGGTACACATCTTTCTAGTATCTCTTTTACTTTATAGCAACTTTTGAGGAAATAAAAGGCTAGTACTGAGAAGTTGTAACAGCAACATCCAAATGGTGCCTAGAAAATTTGTGCCGTCCGTTACCTTTCAACTCTAAATGTTATTTCTTTCTTTTTGTCAGAAGTCTGATATGCTTTGTGGTGTATAGATTAAAATTTTGATATTAATGCAATTATTTCTTTAATCTCCAGGCTGCAGGGAATGAAGCATTTCAATCAGGAAGACACTCAGAAGCTGTTGAACATTATACTGCTGCTTTATCTTGCAATGTGGAGTCACGGCCTTTTGCAGCTATTTGTTTTTGCAATCGTGCTGCTGCATACAAAGCACTGGGCCAAGTCACTGATGCTATTGCTGATTGCAGCCTTGCCATAGCACTTGATGGCAATTATTTGAAGGTTTTTCTCCAAACTGATAAAGGCATAATTTCTGTATGGTTTAACATAATTGTCACAGGCTAAGACATATGCCCTATAGCCCTTCCACTTTGTTATGCATGATTAATGATTATTAAACTTGCTTCTCTTTAAGTCATGCTTTAGGACATTTAAGACTGTGACTTGTGCCTCCTAGCACTTTAGTTTTCAAATTCAGTTAGTTAATGCTGTTTTCTTTTATTTCTTTGTTTCTTTTGGAACATCTTATCACTTTGTTCTAGCCTTGCTGTTACACACAAGTGAAAATGCATCTACCAAATGCCTTTTCTAGAACTTTTTCTTATCTGTTGCTTAAAATGGTGGAATTTCTTGTCCTCTTGTTTGTTAAAAACAATATATGTTTTCCAGAAGTTTCTTACATATGGCAGAGTAATCTCAGCATCATATTGTGTTGTATGGATCTCAAAAATAGGTATTTGGCGGCTATGGAAAGTGATTGTACAAATTTTGTACTTTGGGTTATCTATTTTACAGATTGCCTTTTAGACATCTATTGCAAATTTTCAATCCTTGCAGATGTTGCTTTCTGAATGATTGGAGCCCTTGGGCTATATTATTTGTTGTATTTTTATTTACTTTCAGTGCATTTTCCCTGTCCCTATTATTTTCTCTGGGCATTTCTTCATGATTTTAATTATTGTTTGTTTACCCCATGAATTAATTTAGTTTTCTATTTGATGGCACCATAAAAAGATGTGTGAGACATTTATTCATTTGATTATGTAACTAATTAATCTGTAGATTTGATGGGTAGCTATGTTAATCTGATTTTTCATTTTGCTCATGCCTATGTCATGCTCATTGGACACTTCATAATTGAAATGAGTACGAGGATATAACCCAAAGAATAAAAGGAAAACTTACATAAACATTTGAATGTACTTGTGTAGGACATGTACACAACCATTCCCGAGCCCAAGTCCGAACAATATAGGTGGTCAGAATTTGTGTGAAATCCACACATGATTTTAAAATGATGTCTGTGGAGAGTTCCTTTTTTTCAAAAAATATCAATTCATTTTGGAGAAATTTTGTTGCCTTCTAGACAATAACTTTCTTGGTAACAAATTTGTTTGTGTGCACTTTTGCAGGCAATTTCTAGGCGAGCCACTTTATACGAGATGATTAGAGACTATGGGCAAGCAGCCAATGATCTTGAAAGACTTCTTTCCCTTCTCATGAAGCAAATGGAGGCAAAGACCAATCAAATTGGAACATCTGACAGATCAATGAATTTGGCAAATGACTTGAGACAAGCTCGTATGTGGCTTTCTGAAATTGAGGAAGAAGCCAAAAAGGAAATCCCTATGGATTTGTACCTTATTTTGTAAGTTTCCAATGCATCATGATCTATATGAACATGGATCTTGAGACTACTTTCTTCTTTGGCTTAATATCAAATCATTTGTTAGCTTTTCCTTTAGGATTTTTCAAATATTATTTCCATTCGTCTTTATTTTTATAAAGATTATAAATTTATAAAAATTTAATAAATGGTTAGTAAATTAAAAATTTCGTGAAGGGATTTTAAAATTTTCCATTCATCCTTGTTTTTAGCCAAATCCATTCATCTTTGTTGGACAACGTCATAGAAGAAATCTAGCAAGGTTTTTTATATTTTGTTGTCTATTTGTCTTTCCCAGAGCCATATTTATGGATTATGGATCATTGAACTTTATTTGGATTAACAATAGTTCTTATTGTAATTGTAACGGCAGAGGGGTTGAACCATCTGTTTCAGCAGCAGAAATTAAGAGGGCATATCGGAAGGCTGCTCTTAGACATCATCCTGACAAGGTTTCTTATATCTGCTGCTATATGCATTTTATGAAGTTTGGTGCCAATCTGACAGGTTTCTATTTATGTAGGCCGTCCAATCCTTGGTAAGAAATGAAAATGGAGATGACAAACTTTGGAAGGAGATTAGAGAAGAAGCTCACAAGGATGCTGACAAACTATTTAAGATAATTGGAGAGGCCTATGCAGTACTTTCAGACCCTATCAAGGTATGTATATTCTCATTCTCTACGTCTATGCCTTGCTTAAGGTGCATTGTAATACCTTTATGTTTGTGGTATATGGAACTATTTATCGCCACGTAATTGCTAGCAAAGAGTGGTCAAGTTACTCCCAGATTAGGTTTGAGACTTGCTCAATGCAGGGGTGTGCAAGTCACCAGCATACTTTAAAAGGCAAACAATCTTGGATGGGGCCTTGTAGAGGCAGGACAGTGGAAGTCCCAGTCATTCAAATTGGCAGTTAATAGGAGATCCTGGGCAATGCATAGTGTGCCATTGGACATTTTGTCCAACCTAAACATAAAAACGTATCTTTCTTCGCAGCGGTTTCATATTTAAGTAATGCATTTAATAGGATTCCCTGTAGGAATTAAAAAGTGAAACAACAGTCGCATTTCCTTCCTCTGCTATGCATATCATTCTGTCAGAAAGCCATATGATAACTGGCAGTCTAATTGTTTCTTCTTTCATATTGCTTTGCTACTGGGCAAATATGGTGTTATCTTGCAACAATGACTTTCTGCAGCGCTCAAGGTATGATCTTGAGGAAGAGACAAGGAGTATGCAAAAGAAACGTACTGGAGGCACATCCAGAGCTGCTACAGATGCTCAAAGTTATTCATTTGATAGAAGTGGTAGTAGGCGACCATGGAGGGAGGTCTGGAGATCATATGGCTACTCGAACTCCAAAGGATCAGAAGCCACTCGATCAAACAGATATTATTGACAATTGTGTGCCTACAGTTTGAAGAGATTCTTGAGATATCTGATGGAGTTATACAACGATGTTTAGCAGATTGGGACTTGGCTTAGGCACTCTGTGGAAAGGGAATTGACTCGAACCACTGTCCAAGAACAGGTCCATACTTGCAGGATGCTATACCTGATGATTCAAAAGGCTTGTTGAAAGTTCTGAGTAATGCCAGGTCCTCAGAGATTTTTTGTTGAGGTTTTTTCTAACAGTTTGTGAATGGCTAAAAGCTTGAACTAACAACGTTAAAAGTTTGAAGTCTGAAAGACTTATGGTTTGAGGAAATGGTATTCTTGTTAAGAAGAAAAATGGGAAAAGAAAGAAACAGAAAAGAGCTAGCTCTTTCCCATAACCTAACAGAGGAAAGTCTGGACATTGCAAATGTACGGATGACGTGTACAGACACATTGAGATAAATAAATTCAAGCAAGGACCTTCAGGGCTTTGCAGTTTTCTACCTCCGGCCGATTCCAGCTAAATTGGGAGAGCAGTTTGTTTCTAAATTGGTCACAGGCTCAGAGAGAGAGTTGATATCAAAAATTTTTTTTCCCTATACTTTCCAGATTGATTGTTTGATTTCATTGCTTGTTAATGAAGAGAAATGGTGCTTTTCAAATGTATTATATTTATAACACAAATCAAAGATGCTTGATTGTACAGTTTGGTGAAAGGTGAAAGTTTGAATGAGGAGACCTTTGTTTCTCTGTTTTTTGGTTTTCAATATGGGACTTGACTTAATCTTTGTAATCTATCACTGCTCATCTTTTTTGGTGTGATGTTATTTAGTATTTACAAATAATAATTGTAATCTGTTTGGTTTATATAAGATAAAGAAATTATTTGAGTATTAGATACAAAAAATAGCCCTATTAAAAATGCAATGTCTTTAACATAATATTTTGTGTATATTATGTTTGGACCAAGGATAGGGTAGTTGTTGGACTTGGGTTCAACTTTGCCAAGTCTGTTCAAAGCCATACTATTATTTGTGGTATAAAGACATGAATTACCTAAGGAGTCCTCTTATTTGATGCCTAAACATTAAGCAAAAAGTATTGCTAAGCAGTCATGTTTAAAGCTGCAATGGAATAATATCTGACATGTTACTCTTTTATCTTCAACGACCTAGTGGAATCTAGACAGAAGGCTTATTCATAACAGACAATGAATAGCAATCATTCACACTGTTTCCTAATGACTTCATCCTTTGGGATTCATGTAGGCATTTAGATAGAGCATTGTGTTTTAATTCATTTTCTTGTCCATACTGATGTATGACTAGGAGCCCATATCAAAACCATTTCCTGCCCCCAACCTTGAAAACCAAAAGACAATAAGAAAGAAAGAAGAGGGGCAATGGCAGAAAAAACTACTGAAGATTCAACTATATATTCTTTGAATGACCAATTTGTAAATGGTTCAAAGGATACAAATTTCATTACAAAAATAAAAAATCAAGCTCCAGACAATTGCATTTGCTTTCCTTTTCAAAACCATTGCCAGAGCATCTGACATGATAAATAAAGCTCAGTCACAACGATGAACAAGTTATTCATACCAAAAATGGTGACTAGCTACCTCTGCAGCATTGTGGGGAAGCTGAAGCAGGAAAAATGGCCTACAATGCAACTTCGTTTTCAGCATTCTCATACATATATTCCTAATCCAAGCTCTTTTGGATCTGTTTCTACCATCCAGGGTGGCCTATTCACCAAAATGTCAGTTAGAGAGAGAGAGAGATGAATTAAGGTAGAAATTTAACTTCTGGGACATACTTATTCATCACAAAGCTAATTGTTCCTTGTGCAGCACGCTTGAGTAGAACTTCTCTAGCCTCAATTGCAATTCCTTCAGGCTATACAAAATTTTGAACCAAGATTTATAATGTTTAAACATAAATTTGGTCTCCTAATGATATTTAACATTTTCACATACCTCTTCTGGAAACCAAACACCAGGCTGTGTGCTTCCTTCAAGAATTGCTAGGGCGAAAGCAGCTGTGGCAGTTCCCACCAATCTGGAAAAAATGAATTCTGCATACATCATATCTAATTCAAAGCATCCAATAAACCATTTCTAAGAATTATGCAAGACTCAATGCCTTCTGCAGAGAGTTTACATATTTAAGGGATTCTAAGGGCGGAGGCTTTATTGAATATCAAACTTATTTCTAGAATCTTTAAACATACACAGGGAGTCTCCTGTGACTAAACAAAGCAAGTGTATTGCGACCATCTGAGCATTCCAAATCAACCTGGAAAAAACAGAAGAAAATATTCTATTGACATATATGATCAAGACATTAAGAAGCATAAAACAATTATTTGGAATACTAGCCATCACAGTTTGCCCAGTTATTTTAGTATCATACCCTCATTGACACACGCTCACCAGCGATCCCATCAACAGCTCGGACTAGTGGATCAAACAATTGAACCAACTGTTGGACTTTGCTTCTATCTCTCAGAAATTCCTGTAACATTTACTTTAAAATGGGTTTGACTTGTTTAAAGGAGCTAAAAGCATAGCTGATAAATTTGGACTTTGTTTGAGCAAATGAACATGCCAGTAATTTCCTAGTATTGACACATTCCCTTTAGGCGCATTACAGAATATTCTGGCACAGTATAAAATTGCAATTAAAACCTAGAAAGTTACACTTTGCTGCTGCATTTTAACATCCTGTAGGAACCAATAGTTAACCATCGCTAGAAAACATCAGCTAACATCCAATAGTTAACCAACACTAAAGAACATCAGCTAACTTGTTATCACTTCCTCTGAGAATTTAAGGTACGATTGGGAGTTTGGGATCCCAAAATTGTTATTTCTGATTTTCTTTAATTTATACGTTGTGCCACTCTCTAAGCCAGAAAAGTAAGGTTCAAGATCAGGATAGTTTTAGCCATGTCAATTATTTGGGGAAAACATTAGATTTACATATAAAAGCATACTGCAGGAAGAAGCTTTGTCATTGCTTCCATTCCCCAATTCCAGAAGAATGGTGCAGTTCCAAATCGAGCACTGACAGTTGGTACTTCTAGGACCTCATGAGCACTTCGTACCTCAGGTAAATTCCTGATACAAGAAAGAATCCATTGAGTACAACTTTATTGGAGATAAGGCAGCTACAAGGAAATTGAGCCACTCCTCTAAATGACATTCAATGTTGGCTAAGCAGTGAGCAGTAAGCACAGAGAACTAGACCAAAAATGCTACACTCACAGTAGATTCAAGCTACCAAGAAAATGTCATTTGAAACTCAACATATTGCGCTGCGATTTTCTTGACAGTTTTTTGGACTTCAGGGACATTTTTAGCGAATACAAATTTGAATATTATATTAAATTACTCTTAAGTTATTCTGGTGCTCTAAATATGAATGGAAGCTTTTCGTATGGGTCAATTAGGGGATTTGTTTTGCTTGTTCATGATTGATGTTTACTTCTATTCTGTCAGCTAGTTAGGTGAAGGTCACCTATCAAATTGAGATGAGAATGTAGTTGAACTTTGTTTTTCCCATACCGGGTGCAATTGTAAGGAATAAAAGAAAGTTAAACACTTCAACAGGAAACATACAAAGAATGGAGATGAAAGTAAGCAGAGTTTTGAATTCAAAAACTTGAAACTTTATGACAAATATTTAGTAGATTTTCTTGCTGGTGACCCATGGGAAGAATCCTTTCAACCCTGGAAAGCTCTTATTCTCTACTGATTACAAATGGTGGTTGCCGAAAAACAACTATAAAGATTTAAATCTAATCACTTAAAATGCAACATAAGATTTCCTCTAGTTATCATGCAACCTTTCAGTAATTTGAGACAGGGAAACTATGTTGATGCTTCATGAAGTTCAATATTTAAAAAAACGATTGACTAGAAATAAGAGGTATATTTCTCATAAAATGTTTCTCTCATTCTGAAAATTAAGCAAAAATCTACTTTTATAAGTTGTAAGGGAGGATATTTTAGCCTTGTTTGGAATAAAGTAGACATGAAGTGGGTGTAAATAATTTTAGACGCAATCTGCTCCCAAAATGCATTTGGGATTAGAGTGAAAAGACTAATTCCTTGAACCAGTAACTCAGATTTATGCAAGAAAGTTTTCCTGGAGTAGGAGCAGTTTCTTAAAAGAACTTACAACAAATAAACATCTCTCTTCCCAATTCCTTTTCCAAAGTCCACATTGAGCATTCCAGTAAAGGGCTTTAACTTGATTTTTTGTCCTGATCAAACAATACTTAAATCATGTTATGCATCCTATGCAGAAAGGTGGGAATTCTAATCTAAGGAAAAAAGATACTAAATTTTTGTAAAATTTTCTCAATACTCACCTTTATTATATGCAACAACTTCCTCGCCAAGAAGTAAAAAACTGGTGGCTAATATAGTTGGACCAGCACCACCACTGCCTGCTGTGTAGTAGGAGAATCTGACAATGCACATTCACGCAGGAATCACATATAGTGTGCAAAGGAATACATGAAACTGTTATTAGCTATTTGATGTAGTCGCTGATAAAACAAGCAAAGGATTATAATGCTTCAAAGGTGGTACATATATTTTTTTAGCCACCATAACATCATAGTCAGACTAATATTTTCTTTGCATCACAAAACCCTGAAGTAACCAGCGCCATTTTAGCTAGGGGTTAAAGCTTAGATGAGTTAAATAAATATTCTAGTGTATTATTGGTTAGAAACACTTTTACTGGAACATTACTACCTTACCTTCAGTTTTATTCTTTTTATCTTAAATGAATTCCAGATAATAAATATAAGAACAAGAAAAAGAACTTACAGAACAATAAAAACATACTGGGATGTAGTTGAATAAAATGGAAATCAATTCTGAGATGAATCACTCTTGGACTTCGTATAATCATTAGCAAGGTGTAATTACCTTAGCCTTTCTGGCTCCCCCTTACTTTCACTTCTTGCAGCACGAACTAGCTCTGCTGCCATCACTGTCATGAAAAACAGCATTATTGTATGGGATCAAGACAGCACAGTAACCAATGTGACAAGTCTTTCTCTTATAACAAACTAAAGTAGCATCATATATTAACAGGTCTCCAATTGAAGGATTTGGCGCTAGTCATAGGTAATTTTGCCTCTGAAATCACAGCTGGTTTGAAGCTGAAATAAGCCTGGTTTTGATAGGTTGGCAGTGTCACAGAAACCTTTAGACAACCCCCAAAATATCAAACCTAAATATCAGATAATTGCATAGTTAATCCCAGATATATGGAAGAAGGAATCAGCAGGGAGTTTAATTATAAGTTATATATTGTCTTGAGTCAATGACGCTCTGTGGTTTTCGTTGTAATTCAATCCCTTTTAAAGCCAAAGTGTTATGCATGTAAAAGCCAATCATATGAAGCACAAAGCTTCATAGTTAAGTGTATGTTTAATGACATAATTGCTAGAGATTTTCAAGACTTAATAGCAGGATGCAAAAAATCCGGGACATTTATCAAACCAATGATTGCAATTATATGTAAGACTATAAGACTAATAACTTTGGGGGCAGACATCAAACCTTGAAAACTTTAATTTATCAAAAATATTTGTTTTAGATTTTTACATGGTTCATTTTATTACTCTACAGGTATTGATCCTTTGTCTGTGCTCTCACTTGTCTTCAATGCACCAACAAGTTTTGTGCACTTAAACTGTGGACATATAATGGGAATGTTACCATTGCTCACTCCAGGATAGATTCCACCAGTAGTTATGGCTGGAATATTTGCCTCTACTGCTATATCCTTGAATGATTTTGCACGAAAAGCGTAGCTTGTATCATCACAAACATCAAGATATGCAGTCTGTTTGACAAACAAGAATAATTTCTACTTTAGCACGAGTCATGTACTAAAACTCTACACAAGGCCATTAAAAGAAAAAACACAAGAGTACAGAAAATAAAGAAATAAATTCATATATAATAATTACCTTTGCCTCACCTTGGTCTCTAGGGCTGCTTCCAAGACAGTGCACTTCTGTGCCTGCTGAAAAGGTCCTGCAGCATGAACTACAAGATCCACATCTGCAGAGGAACCAGTACAGCTTAAGCATCAGAAGCAAAGGGTAGGCTTGAATGATATAAACTCATTATGTTTTAAATTGAGTACAACTAAAATCAACTAGTTCAATTTCATGAGAATGAATTACGAGTACTACTCTGTGTTCTTCTTTCCAAGGATGTGGACAAGTCATGGTATACCCATATAGTCTGATTTGATTTCACACAAGTCAAAATATAAGTTTTATATTGATATTTTATATGCTATTTTTTGGTTAAAATTAGAAAATTTGAAGTTACGTGATTCTGACTTATTGAATAATCAATGATAACTTTTAACAATTTTAAATTTATTTTTAGGTTTTTGACTCAACTGCATGTAAAATTAATGTATCCTCTTAAATAATTTAAGGTAACCAATATATTTTACTTGGTAAACAACAATTTGAAAAAGAACTACTTGCTTCTCCAATCGCAAAGCCAAAACTTTTCAAGAACATTTTTGATCAAGTAATTTTCAATCCCGTTTTAAAATTTCATTAGAGTTTATTCTAGTCTACCTTTTACAAGTTAGTTCTTTTACAATTTAAATTATTTGAAATACCAATGTTCATTGCATTAATTTTGTATAGCTTGCTACTCCAAAATTAAGGTTCTTACTTAAATTAATTTTGTACTCAGCCTAGGCAATGAAAATTTTTTATGTTATGAGTTTTTTTTTTTTTAATTTGTGTTTATTGTATTAGATTACATGATATATTTTACATGAGGTTTAAGCCTTAATATTATATAAAACTTTCATACCCTCAAACTGAAAATCCTAATTCCGTACTTGGCTCCAACCTTTTGTCCTTTCCAAGATCTAGATAAAGCCATTGGGAGTTAATACCGGAGAATAAATTATCTGATGGTTGATTTGAATTGGTGGAATTTGAACTTGGGATCTCCTTTATTCAAGAAGAGGTGAGGCGGCCAATTTGGTTATGCTATGTTTTTTCCAAGGGGTGTTACATGCATAATACTTTGAGAGATGGAAATCTTAAACAAAAAAGAATGTAACAGCTAAAAGAACATGAAGATGTGAATCCTGAACACACAGCCAACATATAAAACTTAAAAGAATGAGAGTATCCCAACATCCATTTTCAGATAAACTTGTTCAATTTCTATTATGATGTAACATGCACGGATGATATAGATACGGAAGAAAATATGAACAATGTCATAAGAGAAATTCTCACCACTTAAAGCTGCTTCCAATGAATCTTTGTTGTCAATGTTGACTTCTGCAAATTCAGCATTATTTCCTAGTGTAGCCACCATGGCAGCCCCCTTTTCCCTATGCAGTAAATGTTTCCAACAATCAACATTAAGCTAAATAAAAGTGAGGAATTTCAGAAGGCAGGACAAATGCCAAAGACCTGATAGCATTTTTGTTCCCTTTTTATTGGATTGACTGCCTGTTAAATATTGCTTTGAATATCTAGATGAATCTTAATAACGTTTGGAAGGAAAATTTCGATGCCACAGCAAGAAAAGCAAGTCAATAAAGTAACAATGGAACGAAACTAATCTCTTATAAAAGGGATAATCCACTTCAGAATTTAAAAGAACAGACTTCTTGTTTTCTTCCCTCTTATCAGCAAATAAGCATATTCCTCTCTTTATCCCAACCCCCACTTTAAAGATCAGTAAGTTATCTCATTTCTCTCAGATCATCAGCCAAACATCCAAATTATTTGCCTTCAATTCAGGATATATTAAATAAAACAAAATCCCACAAAAAAAAACCTTCATTCCTATTCAATTTCCTTCCTTTTCCTCAACAACCAAGCAATTAGAAAACTGGGTTTTCGCTCTCTAACCTGTTCCTACCGCCGACGACAATTCGAAGATCAGGGCAAAGCTTGGAAAGAGCGGTGGCTGTAGACCCTCCAACGCGACCAGTTCCGCCAAGGACAAGGACCCGAGAGTTCCTTGTCTTGTCCGGGAGTTGAACTCTAGTAATGTTGTCATGTTCAGCAGCTTTAACAGACGCCACGGCAACAGCTGCAGTCTTCAAATGAAGCAAAGATGGCGCCATAACTGAGTTTCTCAGTAGAGAGAAAGGAATGGTTGAATTTAAACGTTGTTCTAAATTTTCTATTATCTCAATTTATCGTTATTGATGACGTGGATGAATCTTTTGCTACTTGACGTGGCTTGTATCTCACCAGCGGTTCACTTCCGAATAATAGGCTACAATATCGTAGAAAGCCTCTCTCAACATTTCTTTTTTTTTTTATTTAACCCAACTGAGCCTTGTTTTGTATGTCATTTATCTATTTCGAATCAGTGTTCACTTAGTAAATTAAATTATGAAATTTTACGCTTAATTGGTGCTTATACAGTACCATGCAGCACTAATTTACTTAATACTTGTCATTAGGCTACGTGCCATCTATATCATCATTTTATATGAAAATTGATATATTTAAAAATAATAAATTTTAATAATTATGTATAAAATAAGAACATAATTATATAAAAATAATATTTTAAAAACTCAATTAATTAAATGTAGTAACAAAATAAAATAGCTTAGTTGATAAATTTGAAATAAATAAATAAACTTTTTTGATGTTTTAACCAGAATAATATGCCCTTCATCTTAAAACCAATGAACTAATATAATTTTCATTCGAATGTGTTACATTTGACATTATTGTTATTATTCAAATGAAAATGATTCAGTCATTGTTTTTCTCATGTTCCAAAGAAATAGTCGGTACTGTACATAGCCAATTAGCGATTGTCGTTAATAAAATGAACAGGCTGTCCCACACTCACATGAAAGCAAAGGTCTAAGCGAGGGCGTTACAATGCCAAAAACCCGACAGCGTGAGTGGTATGACGTGTGCCAGTCACGTGATCACATCATGTCAAAAAATTCGGACGTGGCACGCGGAAAAACGTGAGCGACTCTGCTCGGAATACAAGGTTAAGACCCAGAGGAGGAGGAGGGGCAGAACCGGAAACACAAAAAGACATAAATATAAAAAAGCAAATAAAAATCAGAGGTGGTCCCTCAATCATCGATGATGAGCTGTCAAACTGGGGAAAGAGACACGTGTCGCGTCTTCAACTTAAGGTGGTCCCATCTAGCTGGAACAACTTTACTTAATACCGACACGAGGGAAACGCACGGCCCGTATTTTTACAACGTGCAATTCTTCTGTGGGTGACCACTTCGGTGGGATCTTTTTCGGTGGGCTCCCTCAATTGTGGCCATCAAATCTGAGCCAGCCAATTACAATCGTTGATATTCCTGCTGACCATGGGTAAATGTTTTTCTTAATCAGGAATGAAATTTTGGATACTAATTTTTAAGAAAATAAACTCATTTCTTTTAGTGAATGGTTAAAAAGAATGGTTAATTTTCACTTCAAAATATATTTAAAATTTTTATAAAAATTTAAAAATTAAATAAAAATTTTTTATTATATTCAATCAAATTTGTATATTTTTATTTTATATTAAAGTAATATTTTGATTAACGATAGATATAGCACTAACTTAGCATAAATATAAAAAGTAAAAAAATCATATAATTATGTTATTATATTACATAAATATAACATATCATCATTCATTATGATGTGTTAACACATTACGCGAACAAAATAAAAATATTAAAACATGGTTACATATAATGAAAAATAATAATTTATTTAAATTTTTTAAAAATAATTTAATAATTTTTTAAATATGAGAAAATTGTCTTATCTCTTTAAGTTTTTTTTTTATAATTTCACATCGGTCTATTAGCATTTGAAAAAAAATTTCATCTTAAAAGAATATATTTCGTTTGACACATAAGTTTCGATGTTAGTCAACTATTAATAATTTTATAATTTTATAAAATGACAGTATTTTTAAAATAATTTTACTTTTTTTTATCATAGAAATGAGAGGTTCAGTGTTTCTAAACCAATCAAAAGCTAAAACTCTATCGAAATTCAAATTTCAATATTGAAAAGCTCCAAATTTGTTATTGATTTTTGACACTTTAATTCAAAATCGACATATGAAGAGAAACCATAAACCATAAACTATAAGGCACTATGACCTAACAAGCTCAAAATGACATGATTTGAATATCTACATTTTATTTTCTTTAAAATAATAAGATATTGTGAACTAAATGTGATGGTATTTTAAACATTTTACATTTGTCGTTAAGGCCATTTATACGTTTGGCATGAACAATTTATTTCAAATTTTAATAAATTCACATAAAATTTAGAGTAAAATTTAAAAAGATAAAAACATTTTAACTTTTTAAATATCACGTTTTATTTATTTTATTTAAATAAATAAAACATTTGTTAATGTAAAAATAAGTGGTGGTATAAAATCTAATAGTTTAGATCACTATTCTTTGTGATGTGGAGCTTAGTTACTTAAAATGTCTCCCGCCGGTAGAGGCTTAATTAAGCTGGTCCCATTTATAAAATGCGATATTTCTTTAGAAGGAAAAAAAAAAGTAATGGTATTTATTTTTTGACAGCGACTTGTGGTGAGATGGTACCATATGCACCGGTGCGTACGATTGGTGGCTTTAAAGGCAAGGGTTTGACTCGGCTTGGCTCTATATTTAGTCTCGGCTTGAGAACACTATTTCTCGTGAAATTTTGGTGAGAGAGATTGAATATTTCTCGGCATTTTAATTTTATTTTTTATGTAATATCATATAATATAATATATATTTGAATGAGTACAGGTTGGTTTTGCTGGCTGACACTTTGAGAGATAAAATCATTTAGAAATGGGCGTTGGAGGAATGAAATGAAATGAAATCATGTTATTTTCCACAACAAAAATGTTTTTCTTATTAAAAAAAAGAAAAGAAAAGAAAAGAAGCTGATGCATTCAATGAATTGATGTCATTATAGATAGATAGATCCATTCTAGGGTTCCATAATTTAATTCCACTTGGTTTTTTTTAATTCCTAATTCCCCCTAAATTTATTGGAAGTTGTTGATTGTCGTCAACCAGTCAAATATTTAACTAGCTTCAAACATTTTTGCTTAACAAAAAATTTAAAAAAAAAATTGTCATACGGACCGATTTTTTACATTAAAAAAATTATCACATTAATTATCAACTACCATATTTAATACAATAATATGACTATAAATAGTAAACTAACTTTACAAATACTCTTTAAATAGTATATTAAATTCAAGCCATCTGATATTTCATGCATTGTCTTATTAGGCTCTTATTACTTTCAATAGAGCAAGCAAGCAGAAAAGTTATCAATATGTCAAAGCTTAATGCATTTGGCATCCGATGTTTCCTTTTCTTATATATATATAGCATGGTTGGGCTACATTACCTAATTTCCCTTCTTCCTACTCGACAAGGACATTTCCTATTATCACTTGTTAAATTGTAGAGCAAAGAATTAAATTCAAAATTATAATTTAGTACCTTTGGGCTTTGGCTACTTAATTATAGATAATCAAATGATACAGCCTGAAGACATGTACAAAAAAAAGATATGAGAAATTAATGTGAACACCTTTGATTGATTGTGGTAGCTTTGGAGATGGATGGGAGACCAAAATCCCATAAAAATGAAAGAATTGGGTTGCCAAGAATGCAAATGAGTACAGCAGTAGTCACAGTCCAATTTAAAGTCACAAGAGGGAATAGAATCAGCTGGGTGTGATTCAACTTTCCTCAGGGTTGGCCCCCAATCCCCATCTCTCTTCTTCTTCTTCTTCTTCTTCTTTTTTTTTTTTTGCATGGCCACCATGAAAGGGACCTGCACTTTGATGCCTAACTTACGTATTATTCCTACCACTATTTTATGTGTTCTTTAATTTTATTATTATTATTATATGCTTGTGAGAGTAGTCACTCCCAAATGAAGATGAAAGAGAGAGGGACTTGACTATGCGTAGCCAAAATGATGGAAACAAGTGGAATTTATAAAAGCCCTTTGAGACATTAATATCTCCATAGATATCAGGCTATTAAATGTGCACTTTTGGTCGGCAGCTTGTTGGGAAATTACCTTTCACGACCTTTCTTTTCTTTGATTGTGGCGCTTCAATTTTTGGCTACATTCAATGTGGTTCACACATATATGGAATGTGAACTATAGTCATCATTCTCGGATATGATATATTATAATATTAAAAAATTATATATATATTTATAATTATATAAAAAATGTTTCATATGATATACTATAGATACAATCGATATATTTTTTTATAAATTTAATTTTAAGTAATTATTAAAAATTTTATTTTTTTTATTTTTTTTATTTTTTAAGTTGAAGCATGAAAAATTATATGTTATGAGTTTTAATCTTTGAATTTTAAACAAAAAAAAAACTAAAAAAATTGAATTCCCTTTTAGTTTTAACTTGAGAAATTTTTTTATTTTTTAATTAATAAATCAATATAAAAAATATATATTTATTTAAAAATTTACATTATTAAGGAATATGTTAAAAATTTAAATTAAAAATGTAATCACCTTTTCAATTTACATCTTATAATCTTCAATTCTATTAAAAAACATAATATTTTTTAATTTTATATGTATAAATATTATTTATAATTAATTTAAAATTTTTTTATTGTATCTTATGATACAATGCGATACTCGATGTTAAAAAATTAAATATCGATACACTATATATATCTTGATTTAACAATTATAATATGAACCCATATGATGTACTGCATCTCCATGATTCTCTATATATAGCTAAAACATAAATAATATATATTTTTTATTTTACTATTCCTTATAGCTTCATGAATATCGATCTATGGTCACTGTTGTCATTATATACTTACTTTTAATTAAGGGAATAGATTAATTTAATAACAGTCAGTCTAGCGGAAAGGAAGCAAGAAGTATGCCTACGGTCTTGTTGAAAGTTATTTTGAAGGAGGGTTTTTTAGTAATTAACTCCCGGTCCCCACCCGCCCAAAAAAAGTAAAAAATTAAATCTTTTGTGGGACTTTGCCAATCGGCTTGACCCACTTAATTTGTCCTATATTTAAAAGCAAAGAAGGTGAAATTGGGATTTGATGCATGTGATTTAATTAGCAAT